TGTTTGTGTGTATACATGTGTGCTTTGGGGGGGGGGGTTGTCTTCTATTTGGATAATTGTTAGAAAGTTGTCTTATCCATTTTCAAGATAATCATTTTATTGTTGCATGCTTGCTACACGCATGTTGGGGTGTAGAAGGGAGATAGGAAATTAGTCCAAGTGGTTGCTGAAGATGATTTTCTAACAAACGTAGTCAGAAAGATAGGTTCAAGGAAATCACAACTTTTTCAAGTATTAGTAAATGTATCCAAAAAAAACTTTTTTAAAGGAGAGCGTGTGATCTGGATCCAAAGATTTCAGAAATGAACTCTTCACTCTGACCCCCAACTACAAGAGGTTGCATAAACTCTTTGCAACTTGGACACAATTCATGTGTAGAGGAATGAAAGAGAAATCTAATTTTAATCTAGTAAAATTTACATTTTTACTTCATTTTTGTTACCCAACTAAATGAGGAGAAAGGGGAATGTCAAGACAAGGACAAATGAAGTTGTGAAAACATGTTGACACATTTTCTACATCTGAACTTCTGCTCATGGGTATTATCTGTGTTCTAGATTAACACATGCATGACAAAGAATTTCTTCTAAATGCTATATAATCTTTTGGAATCAAGAGGGTGAGGCAAGGCTTCCTTTGGAAGAATATAGTGTTTTGAAAATTGAATAACGAAAATATTTGTATAAAATTCTGAGACACCATCCTCATTGTGGATCAGCTTTATCCAGCTTCATCAAGTTAGAATCACAGAATAAAAATGTGACTAAACCAATTGATTCTAATCAAATTTTCATCACCTTTCTCTCTTTACTTTGTTTTTTCTCCTTCTAGGGCTAATATACATAAGCCATTTTCTTGCATTTTCCCAAACAACCTTATATCATTATACTTCATCTGCTTTACTTTGCATATGATGATTCATATTAAGAATAAATCCCATGAATTTCAATGTATTAGGAATCTCTGTGTGAAATTGCACTTCGCCCTGGAACCTGTCACATCATGTCACAGAAACTTGCATTGTCTACAAGCCAGAATGTCAATGTCTCAGCACAACTCTGTAACAGTAATCCAATTTACCTCTGCAGACTCAGATTCAATTCTACACAGGAAGTGAATCTATTAAGGTCAAAACAGAAATATTTCAACAAAATAAGTGTACATACACCGCTATCACACAGCATATATTTACCTTAATATATTTTGAAAAAAACAATAAAATCAATTAAAATTAAGTGGAAATTTAGTAACAAATATTCAGGTTTTCTTCTGGAATCATATTACACCCATTAGCTTTCCCCGATGTAAGCTAATAATACTGATAATACCTAAAGTGCTTATTTTCCTCCCACTACAGCTGTGCTGTGCACAGGAAACAAAGAACAATTATAGAGAAGAGGCTCAAGGTATTTTTGCCAGCATTTAGCTCTTTTCAAATTGGCTTCTGAAGATCCTCCTGCTTTTGAAGTCATGTGCAATAATAGTGTGTGTCTGACACTGCCCGCATGTTTGTGCAGGCCCAAGTTGCACTGCAAGCACAGAGAGGCCTAGGAGGCGGAAGGGTGTGTCCCCCACTCTTTTGTAGATACCTGAAAAGGAGCCAGGGATGTGGGGAGCCCGAGGCTAAGGCAGAATATCAAGCCTCTCCCACCTTCAGGACTCATGAAACTTACCACGCCCAAAGAGCACCATAAACCAGTTTATCCTGAATGGAAGTATGGTGCTTGTTTTTTTGTTTTCCCCAATGTGGCAAAAAGCACATAGCATGAGAGTGACCTCCCAAAAAATGTTTAGGTGGATAGTATTGTTAACTATAAGCACAATGTTGTATGGGGGATCCCTAGAACATGTTCATCTTGAGTGACTAAAACTCATACCCATGGAATGGCAACTCCCCATTTTCTCCTCCCCCCAGTCCCTGGCAACCACCATTCTATTTTCTGTTTCTATGAGTTTGGCTACTTTTGATACTTCATATAAGTAAAATCATGCAGTAGTTGTCCTTCTGTGACCGGCTTGTTTCACTTAGCATGATGTCCTCAAGGTTCATCCATCTTGTAGCATGTAACATGGTTTCATTCTTTGTAGCTGAATGATGCAGCTACTTTAGAAGATAATATGGCAATTTCTCATCAAATTAAAAATTGGAACTACTATATGACCCAGCAATCTCATTTCTAAGTATTTATCGTGAAGAATTGAAGTTAGAATCTTGAAGAGATATCTGTACTCTCGTGTTAATTGCAGCACTACTCACAATAGCCAAGAGGTGAATGCACCTAAATGCCCATTCATGGATGATTGGATAAAGGAAATGTGGTGTATACATGTACAAGGAAAGTACGTTTCAGTGATCTCCAATTGCTTCTTTGTTTGAATAGTAGGTAAGAATCTCAGTTTACTTCTCTTATATTCCAGAAATAGAGCTCCTTTCACTTTTCTTTTACTCCATTTCTATTTCAAGTCCTAATTGAACCAAGGTGGCAGAAAATCAATCTGTCATTTGAGATTTTTATCTTCATGCCCATTTTCTGCGGCTGAGTGTAAGGTTCAGGTTCTCCTATAGAGTACCCAAGGAAACTGGGTAGAAGGAGCATATGATGCTTATTCATTTACTCACACAGGTGGCCACGAAGGCAGCTGCTAATCTAATCCCAGCCACCTGGGTGCCTGAGACCTGGCATCTGTATGTGTCAATTCTATGGCATTTGACAGAGCATCTAATAAATAAAGAAGGATCTAGTTTCTTAAATGGGATGGGGGTTTCAGAATAAGTGCAAAATATCAGAAAGAAAAACATATTATAAGATTTTCTTGGGTATTATAAGCATATCTAAGGGAAAATATAAGGTTTTTCCAACCATTCCCACTGCCCTCCTCTCCTAACCCACCCCCGAGCCTCCCCCCACCACCCCATCCCTGTCAACTGCCCGTAGCTGAATCATGTGTCTTCTCTCCTTTCCCAGGAGCATAATGTTGGTCAGCCAGCTCATTAGGTCAGGAGAGAAATGCGTATTATGTACTGGCAAAGATTATAGTTTCTAAGTAGATAAAAGGCTGCCACTTTTTCAGTTAATTTATTTTTAAGCAGCAGATAGTATTTTAGCATGGGTCCCTCTTGGTCATGAGTGTAAAAAGTCTAGACATGGGCACCCTAGAGATGCCCGGTGGTGTGACACAGAAAGGAGTCCAGCATGGCAATGTAGTGTGTGCTTGCAGCACAGCTATGCGCAGAATGGACCGAGTCAGCATGCTGGCTGGTGTATAGGGCAGAGAGACACAAAGATAGTCAATAGCATGGATTTATCTTTGTAGTTCAGAACAAAACAGAGAGGATAAAGCAAGTTATCAACTTAAGTTTTAATTCTTGAGGACATTTTACTCTGTATTTTTTAGTATAGGTCTTAAAATTACACCCAGATTAATAAATTTCTGTCCAGAAAATATTTCCCAGTTCATATTAAGACATTTTGATTTTTCAAATTCTTGTACAGCAATGTTAAACTCTTTACAATTTTCTATTATATTTTATTAAAATTATTTTAATAAGACTACATTTTTATTCATATTTTATAATATAATAGTGATTCATTTGATCAATTGGCTATTTGTATGAAATTTTACTGATTATAGCATCTGCACTGTTTTCTTTGGGCCCATTTAACTTGGCCAATTTTTATAGCTCTGATTTTTGCCAAGAAGATATGACATTTAAAAAATATTAATAATTTTTAAATATTTATAATTTTAATTTTAACTATTTTCATTAATTTAATTAAATTTTTGATTTTAATAAAATATTGATAGCTTTAAAATATTAATAATCATTAACATATTTTTGTATTAGTATATTAGTACATATGGTTGTATTTATCATCAGGTCTATTTTTGCCTTACTACATTTGATTTTCACACAAACAAAAATACTCATTTTGAATTTGGAAATGCTGATGGTCATATTTGTGTCTGAGAAATTCTGAACATGGCCTTTCAGATATTGTAGGATTTCTTTCCAAAGTAAAAGGATGAAAAAAGGCTTTTAACTTCAGTGAAAGAAGCCAGACACACAAGCACATATATTGTGTGGTTCCATTCACCTGAAGTGTCCAGAATCACCCGCAGAGACAGAAAATAGACTGGGGGCTGCCGGGAGCTGAGGAAATGGAGACAGGCGGAGTGACTGCTTAAAAGCCTCCTTTCTGAGGAGACGAAAACCTTCGGGAACTAGACAGTGGTGGTGGTTGCACAGCATTCTGAATGTACTGATTACCTCTTAATTATACACTTTAAAATGAATAAAATAGTGAATTTTGAGTTATGTGAATTTTAAAAAAAGAAGTAAATGAAAAGTGAAAGATATGAAGCTCAAACTGTTGAAATCAAAATAAACTACCAGAACAGAGAGGCCTGCAAACTTCATCTGGATCTTGGTTTTTTAAGTCACAGCCACCTTATTGTTTCTGCCCATGCAGCCAACATTACTTTTAACTATAACAAGCCATAAAGAAGCTGTCTAGGGCTCAGATCAATCCTTTAAAATATTCAAATGCTGTCAATGTTCATTGTAGAAAATGAACACAAAATATAAATCAACTGTAATTCCATTTTCTGGAAATAATCTATTCAGGTCTTTTGTTTCCTACAGAAGCATAAATGTCTAATCTCATTTTAGAAAATGAGATTAGACATTGTTTTGTAGCATACCCAGCTCAATAATTTTACCTATATATCTATGACTTCTGAATCTTTTACTATGTACAGGAAATAGTCCACATGTTTTAAATGTGTTAACTTCCTGAGGTCAATATTGTTATTTTGATTTTAAAGATGAGAAAACTAAAAAAGAAGGTAAGTAGCTTTTCTAAAGTCCACAGAAAGAGTAAGAAGCAGAGCCAGGGGGCAAATTCAAATAGTCTGACTCTGGAGTCCATGCTGTTCACCCACTGTAACCTAATATTTAACCAAATCAATTCTGACGGACACTTGGAATTTATCCAGTTTTTTTATTTCAAAAAAAAAATTCAACAACAGTCTTGAAACCAAATATTTACACACAAAAATAATGATCACAATAAAAGTTCTGAAATTGTAGCTGTGATTCAAATTATATTAGCATTTGGAGCTATTGATACAATTCATAAATTCTTGAAATGGTCAGCCTTACATTTGCCAGTAAGCACGTGCGCGCACACACACACATCTGGGGAAAAGATTCATTGTGAGGCGCACAGCACTGTAATTCAGTTGTAATTAAAGCTTGGAAGTTACACATCCTGTAAGGTGCAGAACCAAGGTTGGAATATCACTTGCTCTTTTCTCTTTCATTCTTGCTTTCTTTTTTAACTCCTAATGTTTCCTTTTGACTACCCTGCTCCTCCAAGTAGAATCCTGCATCAGCATTTTATTTCTGGTGCAGTCTGTCATTACAACCACTTTCTAGCCCTTCTTTACTCAAACAAAATCAAATGATAGGTAAGTAGGTAGGTAGGTAGACAGATAGAGAGATAGGTAGAGATAATCATTTGCCCCAAATAGCAATCCCCCAAAATAGTACAATATATATTAATAATGTTAACAATTTGATAATTACCCATTCTCTAAGATATTCTCCAGTAATACAATAAAGGCATTACTGAGAAGCACTATTTCCATGCCAGTCTTAAGCGTACTTCTATAACATATTTACCATGGAATAATTTTATTTCTGAAAACAACAAAGATTCAAATTAACATTGTTTTTTTATATCCTGTATCTGTAAATATTATTCTACACATCTGAGTTTTGCTTTTAACTTGCCTTGTTTCTTTCAAAATAAAGTAACTTCTTAATAGCAAAATTAAAATCTGTGAAAAATGTTTCAAACAAACCTCACTGCATTTTATACAGTTAACTGATTCTTTATAAAGATAAGAAAAAAATGATCTGTACATCTACATTAAAAATTCAAAAACTGGAAAAATTAAAGCTTTAAAAAGATATTTTCTTTCATACTAAAAAGGCATGATTTTCACCTTACACATATGAGGAAAGAAGAATACCACATGTTAACAATGTTTCCATTAAAAATAAGAAAACCTTAAAAGGAAATTACCTGTTCAAAAGTGTAAGTCTAAAAATCTAGATTTCAGGAGCAAATAAGAAAACCAAAAATATAGTATCAAATAAAAATTTTAGAGCACATTTAATTGAAGACCTTCCATCTTAGGGCCCAGAGGGCTACAGAGGATGAAGCATTTCCCATGGATGATGCCCTGTTTGTTCTACACAACCAGCTCAGGCGCATCCTGTGATTGCCTTCAGAATCATCATGTAGTCAGCTCTCTTCTCCAGCACTCCACACTCCAAATAAGGTGAGGCTCAGACAAGGGGTTAATAATCCTGCCCCAAAACCAAATGGCAGCTGCCACTGGCCTGAGTAAAGACGGAAAAGGAAGGCCCTGGCCTAGGAAAAACTATGAAGCAAACAGTGTTACATTTTTTGGCCTCTCTTCCTGCCCTTGAAGGCCCGAGTTTTCATGATGATCTCTAACCTGTCCAAACCCTCCTTGGGTTTGTCTTCTCCCAAAGTTCCCTTTGCCCCCATACGTATATATACATATGCACATATATATAGTCAGTTCAAACTATAGCCTATAGAACCCGGCCACTTCATGGGCTAACTCAACAAATTCTGTTCCCAAATACAAATAAAGAATTTGGGGAATGAGGGGTGTGGAAAGGTCCCAATTCATCACTGCAAATTTTTTAAATAATTTTAATTATTTTTCTTCCAAACTTTTCTTCAGTTAGTGATACCTAATACAGGGGTAGGCAAAAGTAGGTTTACAGTTTTGAGTACGCAAAACAGTTTATTCTTTTTTATTATTATTATATTATTTATTTACATTACAACAGAAAACATACTTTTGCTCCTGTATTTCCAGTCCAGTTTTTAAACTATCACTTGAAGTAAGAATATGACAATGTGATTAGATTACCATAACTTTAGGTATTCATTATTTGAAGTTTAACTTCATTGCTTTGAAGTATTCTGCTGGCCTTCCAGGGGCTCTATTATAAACAGATTTGGGAAGCACTAAATTTAAGAAACACCTTGCAAGATACTGACTTCCACCTAGGGGTTAGGTTTCCCTATATTCCTTTGATTCTTTACAGCATTTTGTAATATCCACCTGCCTTAATAGGGAGTACTGTATTTTATTTGAAAGTGGCAGTGAATGAAAATGAATGCTTATCCCTCATTGCTACTTATAACTATGATAGGAGTCTGTTTTTTCAGACTATAAAGCATAACTACAATCCATCTAAGGATAACATATTCTAATTTCAAATGGCTACTATAGAGGAAATAAGAACCACATGTGCTAAAATTGCAAATAAAAATATAAAAGTATAATACTCAAGAGAAGAAAAGCAACATTTTTTTCAGCCTAATTTTCATTCCTGGTAAGAGTCCTTGATAGTGGTCTTGAACCTCAGGGTGCAAAAAGGTAAGATTACAGATTATGATCTCAATAAAAGATGTTTAGCATTTTCCACTAAAATATGGCAATACCTCTCTGTATGGTAAACATAGTTTTGTTTCTTGAGAATAAAGGAAGTTACATTCCTCATAATAATCTTTTATAAACCATAGAAAACACCTTCAAAAGCATAAAACTAACAATTTCTTGGTTTGTACTTTCCTAGCATAGTTTAAAGTTGTGGCTATGTATTTTTGAGAACTTTATTTTTGGGGGGTAAGTTATGTTTTATTAAGGCAATCAAGCAGGTAAGACTGCTCTTCATTATCTTATTGCTAACCAGAAAGAAAACAAAATTCTAGAAATCATAGGGGCTACTGACTAAGTACTACTAATATTTTAGGGCTAAAAAAATCCAAAAAAATTGCCATAGTATTTGAAATAACCCTATTCAACTTAAATCTAGACCTGGAACCAGAACAGAATTTCAGCCCAGATATGAATTCAGATATAGATTCATATTTAGAAACTGAAATCAAATTTTACAGTAACCCCTTTGGAAATATCCAGAAATATTAGACAAAATCATGTCTAATTGTAGCATTGTAATATTTATCTTTTTGTACATGTTTCTGCTAATGTAGTAAATTTAGCTTCCAAATTATTTAAAAAGTCAAGACCTTCTTCTTCCTGTTTTTCACTGCAGCAACCTACAGAACCAACTGGAGATCCTCTTCCTTCATAGTTATACGTAAGGACATAATCTTTAGATGAGAGGTGGTCTTCATTCTTATTATATTGGTGCAATTTCTGTAAAATAAAAACAAAGGATTGCATTATTGTTTTAAACACACAAACATGTAAACATAAAAATTATTTTTTATTTACCTGTTATGTTTAATTTTTAACCAGTGTGTCCTCTAATGGAGTCCTACATACAAAAAATGCACATGATTGGTCTATATCACAACCATACCATAAAGTCAGTATACTTTACATTTCTAGTAATCCATACAAATGAAAAATTATGTAGACAAATGTTATATTTAAGTACATTTAAATTATCATTAAATGTTTATTCCTAAATTTTATGTCTAGAAGTCAGGCTAGCCCACAGCACGATGCATAGTGGTTAGGAATTTGAGCTTCAACAGTCAAACAGTCTTGACTTTGAGTCATAGCTCTGGTTTTAACCAACTAGCTGTCTGACTAGGTGCAAGTTACTAAATATTTTTGTCTCCCTTTTCTCAGGTGTAAAATGGGAATATAGAGAGAAAGTGACTATCTCCCAGGATCATTGTTAAATGATGCAATAGTAGTGTATGAAAAATATTCTTATTATTCCCAGCACATAGTAAACAGACAATAGATGTTAACTAAAATCCCTACATATTTTGTGCAGTTAGAAAGTAGATAAGAACTACCTCACTGGCTTCAGAATCAAGTTTATAAGATAGCCAAAACATGACAAAATAGAGGTGTACCAAAAATTTCAGTGAAAGTCAAAATAATATAACCCACATAGCAAAATCTGGCATTGCAGAATAGAGGGGCCAGGCATTCAGCCACATTTCCCTTTATATCCGTCGCTGGCCAGTCTTCCTACTTGTCAAACTCTTCCGCCTCCTCCCTTCCTCACCTGGGTGCCTTCCCTCTCTAACCTGAGCTTATTTTCTTGCTTTGAATTAGCAAATGTCTTCCTTCATAACCATTTTAGCCTCACATCCCATTCCCTAATGTGCACACTGAAAAACACTCCTAAGAGTGCTTCTTAAGCTTTGCTCCTTCCCAACCTCCTATTACATGAAACTGACTGCGTAGAAACAGAAAACTGAACTTCATGAAAAAATATGCAGTGGACATATGATAAACTGCAGCTGTGTCACAGAATGTTGCCCATTTGCCATCCATGAAAGGATTAAGGGCTGCTGGTCCACTCTTTGTGTTCCAAAGACACTGGCGTCCTGAGATCAAAGAAGTGAGAACTTAGTGCCAGAAAGAAGTTTAATCCAGTGATTCTCTGCCTGGGCTGCACATTTGAATCACCTGAGGAGCCTTGGGGTTGGGAAACAGCCAAACCAATTAAATCAGAATATTTCAAGGTGGAGCACAGGCATTAGTATTTTTTTAAAAGCTTCCCAGGGGATTATGATGTGCTATCAGGCTTGAAAATCCCTTATTTAGCCTCTCCTTTCTTTCACATCTTTGCTTTCCTCTCAATAAAACATGTTATGTTTGCATCATGCTTTTACATTGAAAATAGTTCAGACAGGTCATATTATCTAATGCTAATCCTAGAATTATGTGCAGATGCTTTGTTTTCATAGAAAGTGGATATTTGATTTGGGAAGTTTTATAATTGTGAGGAATTAGATTTTTTTTCATATTCCATATTGAAAAAGCTTGTGAGGTAAATATATACCTCAAAGTAATGTAACTTAAGTCAGGGATATTAAAAGCCTGCAGTTTTCATGACATTTTAGAAATTAAAATAATATAACAGATGAAATAAAATCCCTTTCATATTAAATAATGTAATGCAATCAAAGAGCAAGGGAAAAAATAACCGGAGAGGGAGAAAGAAGAGATCATGAAGAATATGAAAAAGCAGTTTCTTAAAATATGTATGTTAATACCAATTCCCTATTGTCCCCCACTTGGACATTTAAATAATAGAGTGAAGTCACTTAAGAAAACTCACTTCATGAAGATGAGGCTGAGTGAAATTATGCCACTCTGAGTAGGTGTGTCTGGAGTTTTCCATTTCCATGTGTCCTCCCCTGCAGGAATCCAGGGTGTGATGGTGACTCCGGCCCGATTCTAAGGTGTGGTGTCCTCCTTTCACCATTTCAATGGCTTCCAGCCCTCCGTTTTTGACTCCTGACCCCATAGTACCACAAAGGCCATGGTTAGAGTTGTTGACTGTCTGGGTGGTAAACCCATTAGCAGAACACTGAAATAAAATAATAAAATAAAATAAGCCATTCCTATTGGGAGAAAATGATTCCAAGAAAAGTCACAAGAGAACAATGGAAAAAGAACTTTTATTCATTCGTCCAACCAACAGACATTTACTACTTTTCAATTATATGCTCAGTCTAGGAATGAAAAGATAGGGATGGTCATTCATTCAGTGGCTCCAAGAAGCTCTTATTCCGATGAGGCAGAAGACAGACAATTACTTTAAGAATGTGATTATTCTGATAAACAAGTGAACAGAGAAAACAGAAGTACAGAAAAAGAACACCAAATTTGGATTCCAGAGAGGTTAACTGTAGTAGACTTTGAAAACTGAGCTGATGCACTCCTGCTAAGCAATAGGAAAAACACAGTCCCTGCAGGAGGGTCTAGAGACAAAGATGCTTTAGGGATCCTCAGCTTCAGCCTGCTGAGCATGGCTACCACAGAGAACTAAGAGAGGGATAGAAAGCTGGAAAGGTTATAAAAGGGCAGAGGACATAGAGACCTACATGCCATGCTTAAAAAAAAAAAAGCAGACTACCCTGAGATTATGAGGACTCAAAGAAGTGTTTTCATAACAGGAAAGAAACATGTTTTTAAAATCATTCTAGGCAATAATGTGACAGACAAATATGAAAGAGATGAGTTTAGTGTCATGGAAGTCAGAGGGGTCACTAAATTATTCTAGGTGAAAATGATAAGGACCTAAGCCAAAGTGGAAGCAGTGATGATTAAAAGTAGTTGCTCAGCAGAGGGGTGGCTGGATGGGAGGCAGCACAGGGAGGGGTCAGGAACACTTCCTATGCGTTCTGCTGTGCATCCAGATGGATGGTACAATTCACATTGAAATGGGGAAGAAGGAAGTGCCTGTGGGTAAGAGAAGAGTAAGCAATTTGATTTTGAGCCTGGTAAACTTGAGAAACGTGTGGGACGTGCAAGATGAGTACGTGAATATGGGGATCTGAAGCTCAGGTGAGAGATCTGAGCTGGAGGTTGAATTCGGGGAGTTCTTTCCATGTAGGAGGCAGTTGAAGCCACAGGAATAAATGACATTACCTAGAGGAAACTGTAAACTAAAAGAAAAGAGGGCTAAGAATAAAACCACAGGAAAAATCCCACTTTAAGGGGTGGACAACTGATCTGGAATAACCAATAGAGGGAAGTAAAAAGGTATGACTCTGAAACTGTACAAGGAAGTAAGGTAAGGAGGTCAATGATCAAAGCAGAAAAAAAATCAAAGTAGGATAACAACTGGTTCACATAAAGTTAGCACCCACTGAATTCAAGTAAAAAAAAGTGGGCACTGGTGCTCTTTGTCAAAAGGAATTCTGGAGTGCTAGGTGAACAGAAAGTAGGATCATAGAGAAATCTAGTATAAATCTTTCTTTCCAAAAGTTCAGTTTCAAAAAAAAAAAGAGGGGACTAGAGAAAGTCAACATAGGTGAGAAACTCAGTCACAATGGTCACCTCAGTGCGTCATTTCTAAGTATAAACTGTTATGGCCATGAGAAGCTCTCCATAACCGTCAGGCTCTTCTGTGCCATCCTCTTAGCAACTTAACTTTCTTAAATTTAATATGCAGAGTCTCTAACTAAACTGGAAATTTTCAAGTTTAGATGATTTACTGAGCCTGAAATATATCCATAAAAAGCCATGCACATTATCTCACTGTCTTAAAAATATATATATACTGGAAAAGAGAACTGAAAAGTAGCCATTTGGTGGCACTGCTACCCTAGATTTTTTGCTTAGGTGGCTGCTACAGCAAATTTCTATTTCAAAGGAAAAAAATCCTGATTTTCAAATTTCCTTCATAGTATAATTTGTCACTACAAATACATGGTCAGAGAGAACATTTCTAAGCTAAAGGGAGGAGAATTGAAAATAAACTAAAATGGAGGCTAAATGCACACTGCTGTTTGACATTCTCCTTCCTATCTCCTCCGTGTTCCTTTCACTCACCTCCAAGGGCACACCCCAGAGTCTGATATCCTCACAGGGTATCCACGACCAATTCACTGTATCAGTGATTTGCAGACCTACTTTTCCAGCCCCAATTCCTAACACGATCTCATATTCCTATGACTGAAACTCAGATGCAACGTAAAGTCATCACTTTTACTCATTGTACGGGAGTTTATATAGTCACTAGGAAATTTTGTTACATCTTGTAAAATCAGGCCTGAAATTATGTTCTGGTACAAATTAATAATTCCAAGTCCTTTTAGGAAGGGTTCCCAGCAGAGAACAGTCACACAGGTGTGAGAATAATACAGTGAAGTACCTGATCAATACTACCAGCTCTAGCATCAAATGGCAAAGAACAAATATTAATCAAAGCTCATTCATTCCATGCTCAGATATTACATAAGAACTCACTATTTATATAGGGACTATCAAAGTGATAAACCCATTTTCTGAATGGAGAGATAATTACAGGGTCCCACATATAGATACATCAAATATGGATGGGCTATGACTTTGTGTGAGGGTGGGGAGGAAATGAAAGAGAGAAATAGTTGATGAGAAAGTAATCTCCTCCCTGAGATATAAAAAAAGCTTGATATATCGTTATTGTCCCTGTCTATAGCATCTGTCCCTTTGACTCCACTTTTTATTTTGTTACTGTAAGGTAAGCAATCTTATCATTTATAAATTGAAAATATTTTTTATCCATCCCTAGTTTAATATCCCAGTTACCATTATCCTAGCAACATCACCCTTAAATAATCAAAAGATCTCAATCCCTTATCTTCCCCATCCCTAAAGCCTTCCTATTCTTGATGATCACCCCAATGATTCAGCATCACTCTGCTCACATTATGCTGCTTACATGCAGAAAAGCCTTGACTGACTCTCTCTTTCCAAGAAATACACCTGAAATCCTTAATGTGGCCTATGAAAGTCCCATCTCCTACTCCTCTCGTATATACTCTCCCACACAGCCTAACTTAGGTCTCACACTTCTATTCCAAAACATCATTTTTTTCTATTTCAAATTAAATTCTTCACCGTTTGTTAAACAATCTCTAAATTTTGTTTTCTTTTTTATTCAGTAGGTTCTTTCCCTCCTCTTTAGCTATTCTCAATGTCTCTTCACTTTCAAACACTTCTTACTCTTTAAGTCAGAGTAACAGAGTAACATGTACTTCTTCCACCAGGCCTCCACAGTAGGTCCAGATATCAAGGGAACACTTAACGTAGCATAAGCCTCTTTGAACTCAGACACTGCTCTATCGTACTGATGCTAACTAATGGGTTACTGTCATGTGCCTACTTATTTTCTCTGTAACAGTAGACTCTGTTTCTCATAAACACACCAAAATCTTTTTGAGGAAAGAACATGCCTTGTAAAACGTTTTAATACACTTCCCCCCAAAACAAGAAGCATAGTGCCAAGGACCTCAGAGGTCCCCAAAATATATAAGGAAACGGATTGGCAGTAATCTTCCAATCGCCTCCCACATACACATACTTTTAAAAAAACATACATCTCTTTGATATTTTCTTCATTTACCTTCAGAGCTTTTAGCAAGTTATTTTTTCTTATAAATTGTCAAAGAGAAATATAACATCTGGAAATATACACTGTAGAGAGCAGCCAGATAGATTGTTATTATAATAAATTTATAACATCAAAGAACACACTTTAAATTGTAACACTAGAGAATAGAAAAAAGATAACTGAAATAATACATATGGCTTTATAACTGTGGAAAATTCTAACAATGAGGAATTGTAACCCACCCCACCATTCTTTTGACACTGTTCCTGTAAATCAGGGGTGTCAAACTCATTTTCACCAGAGGCCACATCAGCCTCGAGGTTGCTTTCAAAGGGCCGAATGTAATTTTAGGACTGTATAAATGTAACTACTCCTTCACAGTTAAGCAAGAGCTTGGCACTGCCACTGGGTGGAAACAAGGTGTGGGCCGCATAAAACAAGGTGGAGGGCTGGATTCGGTCTGCAGGCCTTGTGTTTGCCACTCATGCTGTAAATGCTGACTCTGACTAACATGCAGCTTGTAGTTGAACAGCATGTTTGTATAACAATCCTAGGAACTAACTTCAAAAGCTAAACTTTTGACCTTCAGGCATCCCAGCTCTGGGAGATTTGCTGACCTTCAACCGTGGAGTCAAGATGACGGGAAGCCGGGATGGGTGAACCAGGATGATGATGCACACCGGACCATCTCTTGCCTTATTGGAAAGGACTGTGCTAGTCTGCACAGAGAGGACTTTGCAACCCCCTCCCTTGATCTCCTTATTCTATTCCCCTCTCCCTCCTTGTAAAAACCTCTGCTTCCACTGAGAGGGGAGATGGGCTTTGAGATGTGAGTCCCTTATCTTCTAGATGGCTGGCATCTGCATAAACCACTTCCTGTAACGTCAGCACCAGCCTCTTAAGTACTGGCTTTCAAAGCAGCAAGCCACTGGACCTGCGTTCAGTTATAGTTTCAGAAGATAATTAAATGTTCCTACATAAATATTTGAATATTAGCAGATAAAATACTTAATGCCTACAAAATCTTACCCAATTGAAAATATAAATAAACTCCTAAATTTCAAAATAACTTCATAAAGGTGAGTTAAGAAATTATGGGAGATATTCAGAGATATTCACTTAAGAAAATTACTTACCACCTTATCGTCTCCAGGTGCTTCTGTGTTTGATATAATTAAATTTTGCTGTGCCAAATCTTCCGGAAAACCTTTTTTTCTGGCACCAACAATTCCACACACTAAAGTTAGCAATACAGCTGAGTTTGAAAAAAAGTGGATATATAAAGTTTAACATACATAGAATAAAATACTGATCTTTTGTATTTTATCATCTAAGGTGCACAGAAGGCAAATAAAGCCACCAAGCATGGTGCCCCATGAATCACTTTGACCTTTCTAAACTAACGGACTGTGATTTAGCTTGGAGTTTAAAATTTGGCATGATTGTATGTATATTTTGATGATAGCCCCTTTTAAGAGTTTGAATTCTATCCATCATACTAAAGGATTTAGAATCATGAGTTAAGGAGGACATTTTTTTAAATCACTGATATTTATTTAAGTAAGACAAAGACCTTAAAGAGATTCATTGACTCCTGAAAAAAATGGTTTGCCTACAGGAAAGCATGACAAAACATTTTTCCCAGAATAGATTTTTCTCCAAGTATCTTAATCACCTATTTTGTATGTTTTCTATTCAGAAATTCATTCTACATAATAACTGTGAGAGGTTAAAATCTGTGATAATAAAACTAATAGTAATACCAACAATTCTTTATAATATTGTACAAGCTGTTATGCCAAAAACTCCCAAACCACAGCCCCACATCCAGCCTGCCATATGTTTTTGTAAGGCCCATGGGTATGGTTTCTATAATGTTAAATGGTTGAAAAAAATCAAAAATACAAGTTTACTCTATGTGAAAATGATATAAAATTCAAATTTTAGTGTCTACAAATAAACTTCTATTGGAACACAGCCACACCCATCATTTAAATATTGTCTTTGGCGGCTTTCTTGCTATGAGGGCATATTTGATTGGCTTTATCTGAAACCACATGGCCTGCAAAGTTTAAAATACATACTCTCTAGCCCTAGACAAAGTGTACCAACCCCTGCCTGCTCTGTGTGGCCCCTTGTGACTCTCCGCCTCCATTTTTTACCCTCTTCCCCTCATTCACTGCTCTCCAGCTACACTGGTCTTCTTGCCATTCCTTGATTTCCCCAGGCATACTCTCACCTCAGCCCCTTGGAACTGACTTTCCCTTCTGTCTGAAAGCTCTTTCCTCAGGTACTCCTCTGGACTGACTCACCTTTTCCAAAAACCATCAACAATAGCTTTCAGTTAGGCCTGATATAACCATTTACTGAAAATTTCAATCACTTACCACCTATCTCTCATACTCATCCCACACACATTCTACAGAACTACAAATACTAATTATTTTGTTCTATTTTTTTTCCTCCACATTTAATCTATCAGTTTACTATCTCAAGGCAGACTGTTTTTGTTTATTTTTGTCTATTTTGTTTTGGATGAATCCTATGCATCTAAGACACAATTTTGGCATATCATAGATGTTCAATACATGTTTATTTTGTTGAGTTGATGAAAAATAATGAACACTTACTAGAAATACACCATATAATATTATAAGCTTTTCACATGCATTGATTAGTCATCAGTGCTACTCTATAAAGTAAGCTATTATGATTATCCCCTTTTACAGATGAGGAAACTGGAGCACAGTTAAATTAACTTTCCCCAGGGCACATGGCTTGCAAGTGTTAACTTGGGAACAAACCTAGACAGTCCAATTCCAGAGTCTTGCTCTTACTCACCACCCCTATCACAGAGCAAAGGAACAACAGCTAATCTAAGCTGGAGGAATGGGGTGGGAATAAAAAGAGAGGAAAAGATATGGTACCATTGGGAACTAGACAACTGATGAAGAAGAGATTAATAGAATTCAAAATTAGCAAGATAATATGGAAGAAGATACATTGCTGAACTTCTCCCAGAAATCTGTGGCTTTTAGTGAACTTTCATATAGCAGAAATTTTAGATTGTTTTCTAGAACTAAAAAGAGTAGTACTATGACAAAAAAGTAAAAGTTCTACACTGACAAATTTAGGACAGTCTAAAAAATTGTCAACAGTTCTCTCCAAATGTGAAATCTTTTATCTCAAAAAGGATCTTGCTCCTCTTACAGAAAATGGTCAATCAGAGCTCAGATACAAATGATACAAAAGGAATTTGTAAAGAGGACTCATACCTAATAGATGATTGGACAAGATTACATTTTAAAGACCTTTTCCTGAACTCAGATATTTATTATATATTTTAACCTTAAGTAAGTAAAAGGACTTACAGAAAAGTAATGCTATACCCAGTAGTATAGCCAGGATCGCCCATTTCCCAAGTGATACTCCTGCACTTCTTTGAGTCTTCGCGCATTGACTTGGATGAGTGCAAGCACACAGATTAACTGTCAAGGTTTTTGTTGCAGATTGACCTTCTCTGTCTCTTACAGTAATAGGAATATAATATACGTCAAGTGCAGCATTTTTGTTATATGAAAGACGGGCAGCTGTATCTGAAAGAAAATAGAATTATATTTTTAATGAACATGTATTCCTCCCTTAGCATTTGTTTCACCACACCTGTTTGTAAAGGTCTTATTCTCAAAGAATCACCTGCCACATGAAAATGAATAAAAGTGCATGACTATCTTTAACTTTTTCAAGCACTAACATTACTGTATATGTGTCAGTCACTAACTTTTTAGAGAGGAACTTAAAGAAACAATTTGACATTGGAGTGACCTAGTAACATTTCAACAACATTTAACATTCCCTTACTTATCCCCTTATTACAAACTAAGAATGCTAGATTGACTTTTAACCTACACTTCACACATTTTTCAGCAGTAGCAGTGTATGATACTCCTAAAGAATTAACACTTATAAACCAAAGATGTTTTAAGTTTACATTCTCTTATCCATTTACCTTTTGGTACCTGTCCATTATCCTATTGATAAGAAAATTTTCCAAAACACAATAGACCTTTTGTGATTAGTGCCTTGCCTCTGGAAGTAATCTCAATACCAGGAAGCTAATTAACATTTCCCAGGTTACTATAAGACTTATGCAAAAACAACTATGTCTGTATCACAACAATACATATTTATGAACTGTAAGATTTCCTTCAACAGTCTCCATACTTTATTTTAATGACCTTGTTATCAACAGACCAAAAGCTCTACACACTTTCAATGACAATTACAACCTATTGGAGTTTCTGCAATGCACTAAGTGGAATGACAAAACAGCATATGCACATCCGGGAGTCATCTGTAATTTCTAAGCTGTGCTTAAATGCACTGTTGTAATTGTAAGAAGTTCAAAGGTTTTTGGCTGCACCTTATATCTGAATCTTTTCGGAGGAATGTAAATTACTGCGTGGGTTTATTTGTACCCTTCAGAATATACTGTGTCTAAGGTAAGATTTTTCTAATCCCTCTGCTCCCTCAAGGCCACAAACTAAGCCATAGTCATGTCTCATTTATTCACAGGAGTGCCTCAACCTCTGATTTTCTTTGCCACTCAAGTTGGTCCTCTTCAATTGTCCTCCTAACTGCAACCAATGCCATTTTTAAGACATAAACCTGCATACAGTATTGCCTTACTTGTACACTCCCAATGCACACTTTGGTCACCTACTGTACAAAGGCCATTCTCCTTGGCTTGGTATATAAGGCCCATCTGCATCTGATTCCTTCTTTCCTTCCACCCATTCTCAGAGCATTCTGACTAAAATGCTCTAAACTCTAAAAATACTGGTTTCCTTATAACCCAGGTATGTTCCTTCTTTTATGCATATAGATTAATGAATTATTGATTCAACAAACATTTATTAAGCAGTTAGTATCTACTAAGCACTGGGCTAGGTACTGGCAATACAAAAATAGATTACAAATGTCTCAAGAAACTCATGTATATATTGGAGGAATAATGTAAACAGATGATAATACAACACAAAAAGAAAGCATCAAAAGATCCCAGTGTCACTCCTATTTCAAGAAAGTCTTCTTAGACATGAGTATCTGTGCTGGACTCATGTCTGTCTTGTTAATCTCTCTCTTTATAATATATATGTATATTATACACATATATAATCCCAGGTCTGCAATACTGCCTCATAAATAATAAGTGCTCCATGAACATTATGAATTAATATCAAGCTAAGAAATGAAAAGGGAGGTATTCTAGGTAGAAGAACCAACATACGAAAAGTGCAACTGCAAGAAAGGGCATGCTTGGTAACAAACAAGCCGTGAACCACGGCTGAAATATGGACTACTGCACTCCCCAGAAACCATTACCACAGACACTGAAGGCTCCAGTGCCAGACCTCTGTCCATATTCTACATGTTTCCTTCCAAAATACCACAGAGTGCTTGTCCCATACCCCCAGATTCCTCAGTTCTGCAGCTGGCTTACAATCAAGTGTAAGCTGCCTATCTTTCATTCTCTCTTTATCTCACTGGACTTACTTAAAAACACAGCAAAAAGTTTCATGATAAGTTGCCAATATTTTAACAAAGCATTTTTGTCTTTGTAGTAGAAGTTAATTTTGCCAACATAAAAATTATAATTTCTTTCATTTTATGTACAAAATATAACATAGGCCTCTACAATATTGGTAAAAGTTTGTTAGGCTTCTGAAGGATGTTAATGAAACTCAATTTTACAGGCTTCATGTGAGCAGACAAGTAAACCCATTATCAGTTATTCTAGAGCATATACATCATTATTTTTTATTGAGTACCATTAACTGTGGAGAGGGCCCATATTCTGCTGATTTCTGAAGAAGGGTTTGCCAAGCTGAACTGAAATGGAGGACCATGGATAGAGTCATCAGGATCAAAAGCTGAAATGTCAGTATATTCCATCTTTGGTTTGCAAATTACTACATCATTTTGAACCATTTCTGGTGGATTATCATTCACATCTTCAATGTTAACTACAAGGGTTCCAGTACACGATCTACCATCTAGGAAGAAAGAGAAAAAAGTTCAGGTAGTTTGTAAAGCCTTTCATAGTTTCCAAAGAAAAAAAATCACATAGATTCCAAATACGACACATGGTTTTTTAAAATAAACTCTTGATTATAGAAGAAATGGTAAATACAAATACAGATGGATAGATGAAACCTATGGATCGTCTAAAATGAGTACTGTTGTTGACAATATCAGAGACAGACGCAATAAACCTTTTTCCAAAGTAATTACCAAACAGAAAAAATAAATGTCTGAATTTCACTCTCTATTTCTTTGGGTTCCTTTTGGTACAGATGTTAATGTGTAGAAACACGACTACAGAAAAATCATTCTAATCCCAGTATACACCCAAACAACCCAGGGATATTAACTTTAAATATATAATGCCCAACCCTGACTGGTGTGGGTCAGTTGGTTGGTCATCATCCCACAAACCAAAAGGTTACAGGTTTGATTCCCAGCAGGGAACATGCATGGGTTATGAGCCACGTCCTCTTTTGGGGGATGGGCGAGAGGCAGCTGATGGATGTTCCTCTTGCACATTGTAGTTTCTCTCCTCTTTCTCCCTCCCTTCCCCTCTATCTAAAAATAAATAAATAAAGTCTCCCCCACCTCTATATATGTACCTGTTATATAGAGAGAGATAAATAAAAGCATATATATATATATATATAAAAGCCAGGGTTCAGAAGTTCTGGGTTACTTTAAAGGAACAGAATTCAAGGAAAGAAGCATTTTGACCTAATAGTCAGCAGAGTTATTCAAAGGCTCAATTTAAAGCGACATAAAGAGTCTGGTGAGACCACTTCCTTGGTCCTAGATTTCCGTTTCACCTTCGTCCGCTAACATAGAGTCTATAAGCATTTTTAAGGTCCACCATGCTGGGAATATAAAGATAAATTTAAGACACGGATTCTTGTTCTAAGTAGTTTCACTTTGTTAGGTGATTAAGAGAAACAGGAATAGAGTTCTTAAAGTAATTTCTAAGAATCCCAGATATTTATCACAAGAATAATTCCATACAAGAATAGTTGCATTATTCTTCAATTCCTTTAGGAAATACTAGATTAAAACTTTTTTTGTTTACCTGTGTCTATTGCCATGACCGTAACATTATATAAGTCCTTTCTGGGAGTTACAGCCTCCCTGTCCAGAACTTTGGAAGTTCTGATTGACCCTGAGTTTTCATCAATGGTGATCCATTGTTCAGGATCATGCAATTTTTTGTACCTGTTCATAAAAAATAAAAATAACCTTCAGCAATATAAAATGTATTAAAGTTAGTTACTGCCACAATTGTTTCAAATACATTGTCAGTATCTGGTTAGAGATTTCTTTGTACCTGATACCAGTGCTACTTTTAGTTTCAGGGTCATATGCCCTATAGCCACTGGTGCTGGTCCCCTTGGCTGAATTCTCTTTGATCCGTACATATTGGGCTGCTGGGCTGCACTCGGGCCCTTCATCCTGGTCCTTCACTTGAACTGTGACCAAAGCTCTGTTTGTGGTTTCCCTGAGGGAAACATCTTTAGTAAAAGGAGCTTCATTGCTTACTCCAATTTCCAGGACCACTTGTGGGGTTTCTTCATAATTCAGTGGCTTTAAAAAGAAATGCATGTATTTCAGTATAAGTGTGAAACACATTTGATATTTCAAATAACATGTGAACTTTCATCAATATGACCAGTGCTGGCTGCACACATTCCCCATTCCCATGTAGTCAGCAGTGACCTTTAGCCTTGGCCAAAGAGTGAGGTGAATATTCCCTAAGTCTTTAGACAGAGTAGTCCAAAAGTTTCTGCAGGTGGTTTAGAGAGTTACAAAAAAGCAATTCTTTAAATACTTTTATGCTTCATTCTTACTGAGAAAAATTATTCTGAACCTGGAGATAATGCAGAAGGATGGCAGTGCTCTGTGGCGCTGCCTTAGTTCACTGACGGACCAGCCTAAGGTCACCTGACTCTAGGAGAATGAAACTTTGTTCTGACTATTTACTACTAAGGCCCAGACATTTTACAACTTGTAAAATTAAATATGAACATAAACAAAATCAAATATGTGCAATGATTTTATTTTCTCTCAGATAAAAAATATATCCCTAATGCATGTTCTAATTGTGCTATCAGGCATAAAACTCAGCAATCTGTTTTGAGGTAACGCCTTTCCACAGTGGCTGCACCAGTCTGCATTCTCACCAACAGTGCACTAGGGTTCCTTTTTCTGCACATCCTCATCAGCACTTGTTGTTTGTGGATTTATGATGACAGCCATTAATGACAGGTGTGAAGTGATATCTCATTGTGGTTTCAATTGGCATTTCTCTGGTGATTAGTGACTTGAACACCTTTACATATGTCTATGAGCCATCTGTATGTCCTCTTTGGAGAAGTGTCTCTTCAGGTCCTTTGCCCATTTTTAATTGGTTTGTTTGTTTGTTTTTGAAACACTAATTTGAAAGAATATATGCACTCCTATGTTCATTGCAGCACCATTTACGATAACCAAGATTTGGAAGCAGCCCAAGTGTTAGTTATGGTACATTTACACAATGGAACACTACTTGGCCATAAAAAAGAAGAAAATTTTACCCTTTAAAACAGCATGGATAGATGGAGACCATTATGCTAAGTCAATAAGCCAGTCAGAGAAAGACAAACACCATATGATTTACTCATATGTGAAATCTAAGAAACAAACTGAACAAGCAAAACAGAGACAGATTCATAGAGAATAAGCTGACAGGTTGGTGGGTGGAGGGATCAAGAAAAAAAGAGATCTCATGGACACAGACAACAGTGGGGTGATTACGGTGGGGAGGGAGTGGAAGGAGGTGGAAGAGAGTAAAAGGGAGATAAATGATATCGGAAAAATGCAATTAAAAAAGCAGACTATTAAAAAAACTGAGGAATTTTACCCCAGCTTTTTCATATATCAAAGTCTATCCCTGTTCTCAGTTCTTCTTAGGAATCTGCTTTGTCTTTTTGCTGGCTCTTTCATTAAAGAGTTAAAGTAGAACTTTTGCCCATGTTCACTATCTATTTTTATGAAAATTATGTTTTGAAAACTTGAGAATTATACTTTGGTAGTATCTGTAGTTTATCCCAAGAAACTGTCCCAGTGAAAACAGAGCTGAGTAAGAGAAATATGATATGCTTAATGGTGCTAACATTATCATCATTCGTGTTTTTCAGAGAAGGAAAGTGGAAAAGAAGAGATACACTGATTTCCCACTGCTAAAAGATTCCCCTCTACACTTGGGTTTGGAGCCGCGAAGTCTGGTTTGAATTCATTTCCTTAACCACCACAATACAATCCCTCTGCTATTCTACTCTGTTTAAGTGGTCTACTAGCCTCTAAAAATTTTTAAATCAATCATTTGATTACAGTTGATTTTCAGACAGTAAATCAAGCAGAACCTGCAAAACACTCTTTTGCACTCAACTGAAAGATTGAAGCTCTTTAATTCTTTCTGCCTATCAAAACAATCACCAGCTGAGCATGGAACAAAATCAAGACTGATAAGCAAAATTTCTGTTTTCATCCTTTCCCCACACGTTGGTATTATCAAGCTGAAATACTGACAAGAAGATTTCTGTATCTTAGAATCCACAAAAGGCATGTGAAATGCTTTTTGATTTTTTATGTCTATCCCAGAAATGGAGAGTCAAAAGGAAAAACAAATGGATATGCATCTATTGCTAACAAACACAAATTTCATGTGTTGGTGCAGTCGTGCAGTGAGTCAGAGTGTGTGCCGACAAGGAGAGACCGAGGGAAGTTCAGGAAGCAGCTGTGGCACTGCAGGGGGTGCGGTTAATGGATCCAGAGCCAAGTGCCAAATAAAGCCTTAGAATTTTTTATGTAATTTTTCAAGACTTAAGCTGGATAGTGTGTAAGTGGCTTAAAACTCTGCAAGATTAGAAATCTGGTGGCATGAAATCAATGATTAATTTTGTAAAAACATGAATCCTCTTCCATCCTGGAGTGACTTTTTGTTTCATCCATCAATCAAATTGTTCGAAAATATCTTATAGCTGCATTGAGATGGTAACAATCCCTTAGAAAATTAAGTGTCAGGTTATTATGGAGCTGAGGACCTTCTACATTGAGAATGAGCAAGAACAACAGCTTCCTCACTCAGCCCATGTGCGCTGCTGCTGCTGCTGCTGCAGCAGAAACCAACCAACCAACCCTGAGGTAGAGAGCTTATGCAGGACGCAGCTAAAGACTGCATCAACTCAGGCTCTATGGTCCCAGAAAAGTTATCTTTTTTTAAAGAAGAAAGGTATCTTTTTATGGAAAATTATAAGTAGTAGTACCAAGAACATATTAATACTTTTAAAAATATAAAAATATCCTATAGTTTATCAAATGCTTTCCTTTTCATTATTATGTTGAGTAGCTACTAGGGAGGCAGAGAAAAGTATTATTTTTTACAGATAATACAAAGGCTAACTTATATCATGTAAGGAATAGTTGAAGGGCATTGGGAATATTTATTCTAAAGAAAGTTAAATCTCAAGTGGACATAACAGCCTTTTCAAAAGAATTATACTTGTTCTGTATAGCATTTGCAATAAAACATGGATCAAAGACATAGGATATAAGGAGAATAATTTAGGCACAGCAGAACTTCTGAAAATCAGAGCTCTCTAAATATAGAGTAAGCTGCCAGTTGAAGTATGGAGATTCCTATAATTGAGAATGTTCAAGCATAAGTTAAGTGGCTAATAACTCGCAAATAAATTACAGAAGAAAGGCAGGCATTAGGTGGGACTAAGGACACTATGCTCTACTCCAACTTATAGAGACTGTGAAATGAAACTATTTAGTTGATTAAACCATTAACTTATTAAAATTTGTTAATTTCCCAAGCTGTCAATTATTCATTATAACTGTACCTTTACAATACACAGAACACCTTCATTAGTTTTTTCATCTGTACTGATTTTGAAATGTCCATTTTCATTGCCCTTTAAAATGGTAAAATTGGCTCTCCAATTGGCACTCTTAATTAAATCCTTATCTTGTATAGGTAGTCGTAAGATTTCCACATTGTATGTGTTTTCTTCTACCGATACTGCATACTGGAACAGAAAGAAGTCATTAAAAACTTACATTATAAAGAAAGCTTTTACAAAGAAAGCAAAATGGTTCTTCTACTCCAAAGTTACGTGTTCTTAGAGTTTCTGCATAGATTATTTTAATCCATGAATCTCAAATAGCATTTTCATAAAGACATTGTTTAAATGAAAGAAGAATTTCATTACAAATGAAGACTGTTACTGGCCTTCAACAAGCGGTCAGAAATCTAAATACTACTATGAACAAATAAAACATTTGTATGTTTACTGTTATTCAAAATATATATACTTCAAAGTATGATATTTATTAATTCAGATTAAATAACAAATGACAATAAACAGAGATAGATTTTGGAGTTATATACTTACGACATTTTGCAAGAAAGTAGGTGCATTGTCATTTGAATCTGTTACTGTTATAAGACAAGTCGATGTAGTCATCAATCCAAAAAATTGACCATCCATGTCTTGCACTTTAAGTATCAATTTGTACTTGTCTACAACCTTAAAGCAAAGCAAATATTTAATTAGCTTTGTACAACTTTGTTTATATTTATAAATGGAATTTTAATTGTACACCCTTCTATTGGTGTGTATCCATGCTTTTATTTGCATATTTGCATATACTCTGAGAATTTGGTAGACAGGGATAAAGCTGAAAAGGTAGGCAGAGATTACAGTATAAGGAGCCATACTAAGAATTTGGACTTTTGCTTTAAATGGCAGGTAATAGGAAAAGATTTTCCTGAAGTCATAGGAGGAATACAAAATTTAAAAAAAAATTGAGCTTCAGAAAGAATATCCTTAAAGAAGGTTGAGCAGAATTTGGAGTAAGCTGAGCTAGAAGTCAAAGAAGCCAGTCCTAAAATAGTCTAACACAGGTGGTCCAAATCTGAATCAGCATTAATAAGGACAGAGAACAATGGTGACAAGCAAGTTTCAGTGGGAGTCAGAATTCCATATACAATCGAAGAGAGAAAGAAGGGTTGAGAATGATGCTCAGGTATCCTCCTTGGATAGATAGGCAAACAGGGGTATCAGCAAGCAATACAGGAAATTCAAAAGAGAGTTGTCTGAGGAAGTGAACACTAGCAAGTTGACAAGGAGGAACAAGAACAATGAGTTATGTTAGGTATATACTGAATTGTACCTGCTTATGGAAAATCTAAGGAGAAAGGTCTAGAAGCCACCTTGGCATATGGTCCATAATTACGGAAGAGATCATAGCCAGAAATACCAATCTGGGAATCACCAGTATGTATTAATAGATGGTGGCTGAAATTGTGGCAGGAATCTGATATCTAGGAGAAGTTAAAGGATGAGAAGAGCTGAGGATATAAGATAATAGTATTTCAACAGCTGAGGATGTAAAGGGGAAATAAGAAGACTAAGCAAAGGACACTAAAAACAACAGCTGAGGATGTAAAGGGGAAATAAGAAGACTAAGCAAAGGACACTAAAAACAAAAGACCAAAAAAGCAGGAGGAAAACCAGAAATCCAAGAAAAGAGAGAGTTTCAGTAATTGACTGACAATAGACAGGGATTTAAAGTAACTTGATCTGGCAATTAGGAAACCACTGTTGACTTCTGGGAATGGAGTTTTCCAGGTGGTGTGTTGATGATGAAAAGGAGTCATTAGTTGGTAACAGTCACCTCTGTTGCCTTTCTCTCCTCACTATTCTCTAGCCACTCCTCATGCTGTATAACTTTTCTCCATTTTCTACTTCCCTCTATCTCATCCACAGGCTTCATTTTACCTATCTCCCTTCCACGTTGGAAAACAACATTCTCATCCCAAAATGCTCCACCCGGAGGTTTTCTGTGCATGTGAAATTAATCCGCCTCAGTCAATAACACATGACTCACAGTTAAATCAGGGTAGCAAAAGCAAGTCGATCAGTCTTTCTGACTGTCCCATTTCTCCTTACACATTGGCAATAACACCTATCTAGTCAAACAAAGAAACTTTAAAAATCAAATAAAATTGTGCATAAAGAATTTGAACATAAAACACTATATATAACATATATACAGCATATGATAGTAATAGCATATATACTATTACATCATATATGCTATTACTATCAACCAAATAGTGTTACAGATTTTCAATAATTCATAAACCTTAGCTCAACAATCCTTTCAACAATAACTGTATAGGGGTCATGGTATGATTTATACTCATGGAAAAACAAAACAAATTGTCCTTTATGAGAATTAAATCCTTTGCTAAGCTAGAACCAACTAGACACCCATAAGGAAATAAATTATATTTAATAATAATAACTTTCATAAGAAATATCTTTTGTTCCCATAACTAAATACCAATTAATCTGTATTTCTATTTCTTATGGCTTCTCTTGCATAAAAAAAAAATTGAGGTAATACAAAACCAGGTAACATGGCCAGGAATTCTTATTACTTTATGCCTAAATAAAATAAAATGAATAGCAAAGTCTAGCAAGTGGGAAGAGGGGGTCTCAACCCCCAGTAAACAGACACTCCACAGAGTGTGAAAGCTACCTCTCTGTCCAAATACTGAGAGACCATGGTGATTGTGCCTGAGGTGGGATGCATGGAAAAGAGCCCGGGCGACCTGGGCATCTGCTCCAAAATGCTGTACTTCAGGCGCGTGTGCATCGTGTCTGGTTCATCTTTGTCTGTGGCACACACCACCCCCACTGTGGTACCTACATGTTTTGAAAAAAAAAAAAAGTGTTAAATTTTCCGGAATCATTAAATGTGTTTAGGAATATCTATACTCTTTATGTATTTAAAATGTACTTTTTACCAGAGGTATTCCATCTTTACATAATACTGATGAAGATGACTTCAAATTTAAAGTATAAAACACTTCGATGCTGAGAATTAAGGTATACTTTTACTTCATTCACAGTTCAAAATGCTTAATAGTAAATTGCTAAAAACTTATTTAACATTCAGATATTTTCAATACATATTTCCACATATTGCAATCACAAACCTAGTTGGAGAGATAGACCATGGCTCCTGAGTAAATCAGATTCCTTAAATTAAACTTTTGATTAATAGTTAAATCAAGAGTGACTTAAGATATATTTGTATAAATGGTCAAGTTGAAATTTCACAACCCAGTCTTCTTTCCAGGATGATTTTGGTTTTTGGTAGGGTGATTTGCCTCACTTTTTTCTACCAGCTTAGTATTCACACACACTGCCCTCAGGCCCACTTAATCCTCAGGAAGGAATTTTATTATATTTACCATTCCATTTACCTGTATGGAATGTGAGAATATTGCTCAGGTAAAGGATTTCAGGTATCAAAAAATACATACAGGTGGCATATTTAATGTGTAAGGACAGTGTTCTGATGCAAATGAAAATGTAACGAGTAGACACATTTTTCCTATAACGCTGTATGGAAGGCCCACCTGAGGAACAACACATACATACGTACAACCATACACATATATACTCACTGAAATATTGTATTTGAAGGAAGAAATCCAAGTAAATCTTTTAACACAAGGATACATTAGTTTAAAATAAATTTGTTACTCTAAAACATCCTTCAAGTTTATATATGTGTGTGTGTTGTGTATATATGTCTCAATAGACATATATAGTATATTTCTAAATTATATATACATTTTATATATTTACATTTTGTGTAGTAGAGAATGTCCAATTACATACTTACAACTAATGACAAGATTTCTGCAGTGGATCAATGTGAAGATATGAAGTAATAATATTTTACCATAAGAAAATAAATGGTACTTATCTATCTTTTGATAGAAAAAGTTTATGATGTTTGTAAGGCATAACATTTTCTCCCTGAAATTTTATTGACAGTCAGGAAGACATAAACACTATTTTAATTCTCTGCATAGAGAATTGCTTTATTTACCATACAAAATCTTCCTAAAACCTTGAAAATTCCTTTTCATGGGTGTCATATGTCAATCCAATTGAGCACCCTTTGTCCAAACCATCTGTACTTGGCTTAAGGCAAACTTAAGAGCACCTATTAGTTTAGAGTAGCACAGATTTAATTGGTCTGAACCTACTGGTGTGAGATGCTTAAAATACCCAAGGCTAATCTGGGCATCAAGGTGTTTGTCTTTGACTCTTCTGTTACTTCCCACAAGAACAAAATCTTCAACAAAGAGTTCGAAAAGTCACAGACTTGTGAAGCTAAAAATATTACAGGTCAGCTAATGAATTGAGTATAATTAACTCATTTTACAGATCAGAGAATTCAAAGGGACTTCCATGAATTCCCACAGTGAGTTAATAACAGATTCCTAATCAAAAACTAGATTTCTTAAACTTGTTCAAACCAATGATTTTTGTGTAATTGTACAATGTGATTAATAAAGAGGTCAACATCTATGACATCAATCATCAAAGTAAAAAATAAAGGGAAATAACAAGCATAATAATGCAGTAAAGATCTAAGTAACTAGCAGAGACCTTAAAGGGCAAGTTAGCAAAGTCATCCTTTATGATTGAGTCTACACTCTTTCACCTTTATTGTGAGTGGCTATTCTCCATCTTACAAGCCTCAGAAGACATCATGAATGCCACATTTAAAAGCCAACTAAACTGAAACACTTTGGCTTTCCACATGTAAGAACAAGTTTTTAGCATGGAGAATATGTAAGTTCCTCTAACGTAGGAAGGTAGTAAAGTATTCAGTTTTAAGAAAACAATAGAAATAAGAGCTTTAAAAAATTGTACTATTCGTGGATGTCATTCAACAACTCCCTAAATAAACCTAATAAAAAAATCTATATTGATTTTAGTTCTAGTGTACATCCTACCCTGCATGTCCTTTGCTTGGAGGTGAGAATATTGATAAACCCACATAATGATAACATGAAATAAAGTACATAAACCAAATATGGTACAAAGCTTAAATAACAGTCATCTATCTTTATAAGTGTAATTGTTGTAACATTGACCACACCACAAACTACCATAATATCTTCTCAGTTACACATTGTTTGTATTTGATAGGATTAAATATTTTCTATAAATATATACTGATCCAATATCATTTCAGGATGATCAGCACTGAATATAAAAAACGCAGCATCTCAAAAACGTACACAAATATATTTAACATAATATATTTTACTCTTAAAAATTGTCTTCCCATAAAGTCTAAAAGGAAAGACCATTCCAAGTCTAACATGGATAGATTTAATCAAAAGAAAGACCTGAACTGCTCTACCACAAAAATGAGCTTTGATAAAACTCAAAAGCAACAATACACTGAGAAAATATTTGCAATGTGACAAGTTAATATCCTTAATATGTAAAGAACACTTTTAAGTAGATTTTTAAAATAGTTTAAAAAAAGATAAGCATCAGGGAAAATAAGAGCAAAGGAAATGTACATTTTATTCAAAAAACATGCAAATAAGCCAAAGAAAATATACACACACAAAAATTAAAAATATCTTGTCTTACCAAGTCTACTACTTTCTGGAATTTCAAAATTATAAATTTGTTCTGTGAAAATAGGGTGGTTGTCATTCTCATCCTCCACTCTGATGGGCAGGGGAAGAGGTAAGTCTGCTGAATAGCCATCTGCAGTTGTCGCGTAGGCAATCAACTGAAAAACAGGAGAAAGCAAGTTCAATAGCCCATTGATATAAGACTCTAGCAAGAAAGAATACTGAGCTTTACCCACTACCTTCCCTACACATCTTTTCAATAATAAGCCGCTTAATTTCTTCTCAGTGCTTTTTAAATCACCAAAGCATCAAATGGAGAAACACTTTTAGTAAAGAGCATCCAGTATTTGGTAGAAATGTCTACACTTCAAATAAAGCTTCAGAGTACAGTGAAGTCATGGATTACTCTGCAGATTAGACTGAGAAGTTAAATGTGAACATACAGACTGGGATTAGAGTCCTTATTCTCTCCATAACCTGAAAGCTGTATTGGAGAAAACAAACTCACCGCAATGGGGAAAATTCCTACAATACCATCTAAATAAAGCCGTGAATTCCAATCCTGAAACTATCAAGCCCTTCTATTGTTTTACTTCATAGATCATATATTTTAAGAGTTTTTCTAACAAAATACATGTGCCAATTTTTGCATTGCTAAGTAATTAAGGGCATTGTAATGCTGAAAGGAATATATCCCCTTCGATATATGATTACAACACTGAGCTGATAATTTTTTAACCCAAAACCAAGAAATGTCACGTGGTGGAATTCAGTCACATTTGTTTATTCAGATCACTTTCTTCTTCTAGAAAGAGAACTCCGTTTTCTAATGGGGTATCACTGTCTCTGGGCCACAAGGATGACCACATGACCTCACAGCATTTACCATGTTACACTAAAAATCATCTGAGTTACTCCCCATTGATTGCAAGTTCATCCATATCAGAACGCTGGCTTATTAACCCTTGTTTGGGTTTGGTCTCCCACTTTTGCTTCCTAATCAACTTTTCAGGCACGATGAGAGATCATACAAGTGGAAGGAAGACAAAAGCAGCAGAGCAGAAGAGGGAAGACTGTGGCATGTCCTGGAGAGAGGAGGTTGTACTCTGACCAGAGAGAGTGAGGGTATCTCATAAGCAAAACAACTCCTGGAAACTTACTAGAATTCAAATACAACTAAAGCTCTTTGCTTCATTTCAGGCAACAACAGGAGTTAAGATAACAAGCAGAAAAGTGTTCAAAAATATTGCATAATCTATTTCCTTTAACTTGAAGATACCCTCTACAAAGACGGTACAAGCAGACAGGAAAGAGCAGATGGAATGTCAGAAGAAGCACGGTTTAATCACTTAAAGTCATGTATATCAACAAAACTCCTACATCAAAAACATCATATTCTTCACGATCCACAGACTTAGTACAATACAGATTTCCAGTGTCTTTTTCTATGAAAAACAAATTTAAAGGTTCTTGGTCAACTCCACGTCCACTTATTGAATAGAAGACGGTATAGTTCTGTGCTGCATCAGACTGAACCTAAAAGGAAAAAAAATATACACATGTAAAAAATTTCAAATTAAATTCTGTTAAAATGCTGATTTTTAAAAATTCGGTTTGAGTGTTTATATTTTTATTTTAAAGAGATGATTTTAATAAAATAATCACATCATTTCATCAACACAAACATTTGGCAAAAAATTTTTTTAAGTTCCTCAAATTTAATGAAAAGCATAACCCCCAAAATCTAATTACACACAATAGACATAATTTTATACTTAGTGATTTAGCAAATAGAAAAGAACAGCGATACCCATTTTTGGCAAGCACGAGGCAAACAGGGACTCTCACATATGGTAAAGAGAATGCTAATTGGAATGTTCCTTTGGAGGGGAGCTGACAAAAACTAAAAAAAATGAATGATGAAAACAAACAGGAAAGTCTCTTCTTGGTGGAGGAAACAGGAAGTCCAAAGGGACCAGGGCAGGGCTGTGCTAGGAGTGTTCAAGGAGCAGCCAGAAGGCCACCGTGGTTCAGAGAGCCGGGAGAAAGGAGCAGGAGGTGAAGAGGAATGCTGTAGGAAGGGCCACATCAGGTAAGTGATTCCAAGGATGTTGGCTTTTCCTCGGAGTCAGATGAAGAGGAAATTCAGACAAGAGTGATATTATCTGATTTATATTTTAAAAGGATAATGCCCTGATATTTTGTTAAAACTAGACTTGGATGTACGTATAAGGGAAGAGACGGGAAGACCACTTAGAAAGCTACTACAATAATTCAGGGGAGAGTGTTAGTTTCTTAAACTAGCATAGTAGCAGCAGAGGGGGTGACAAGTGGTGAGATTCTGGTTAATAATTTGAAGGTATAGCCAACAGAATTTGCCAAATGGATTGGATGTGTGGTGCAAAGATGGAAGCTAAGGCTGACACTATCTCAGAGGATGCTAGTACCCCTTAATGTCCACTCAGTGGATGAGTGCACAAAAAAGCTGTGGGACATTTACACAATAGAATATTATGTGGCTGTAAAAAGAGAAGAAAATCTTTTTTAAGTATATTTTATTGATTATGCTATTACAGTTGTCCTGTCTTTTCTCCCCTTTATCCCCTTCCACTCTGTACACCCCCTCCCACCAGCACTCTCCCCACTTAGTTTGCGTCCATGGGTCGTATATATAAGTTCTTTGGCTTCTCCATTTCCTATACTATGCTTAACCTCTCCCTGTCTATTTTGTACCTACCATTTATGCTTCTTATTCCCTGTACCTTTTCCCCCATTATCTCCCTCCACCCTCCCCACAGATAACCCTCCAGGTGATCTCCATTTCTGTGATTCTGTTTCCATTCTAATTGTTTGCTTAGTTTGTTTTTGGTTTTGTTTTTTTTTAAGTTCAGTTGTTGATGGCTGTGAATTTGTTTTCATTTTATTGTTCATAGTTTTGATCTTTTTCTCTTTCTTAGATAAGTCCTTTTAACATTTCATATAAAAAGGACCTGGAGATAATGAACTCCCTTTTTACCTTATCTGGGAAGCACTTTATCTGCCCTTCCATTCTAAATGATAACTTTGCTGGATAGAGTAATCTTGGATGTAGGTCCTTGCCTTTCATGACTTCAAATACTTCTTTCCAGCCCCTTCTTGCCTGTAAGGTTTCTCTTGAGGAATCAACTGATAGACTTATGGGAACTCCTTTGTAGGTAACACTCTTCTTTTCCCTTGCTGCTTTTAAGATTCTCTCCTTATCTTTAAAGAATCTTCGGCAATTTAATTATGATGTGTCTTGGTGTGGTACTAAAAGAAAATCTTAATCTTCTGAGACAGCATGGATGGACCAGGAGAGTATTATGCTAAGTGAAATACTCCAGTCAGAGAAAGACAAATGCCCTTCATTAGATCTCACTTATATGTGGAACCTAATGAACAAAATAAGTTAACAAACAAAAGAGAAACAGACATAGATACAGAAAACAGACTGACAGCTGTCAGAGGGGAGGTGGATTGGGAGGCTGGGTGAAACAGGTGAAGGAATCAAGAAAAAAAACCCCACAATCTCATAGACACAGACAATAGTAGGGTGATTATCAGAGGGAAAGAGGGGTTAGGGGAGGTAGAAGAAGGTAAAGAGGGGATATATGGTGTTGGCAAGAGTCTTGACTTGGTTAGTGAACACACACTACAATATACAGATGATGTAGTTTAGAATTTACACCTGGAATCCTTAGAATCTTATTAAACAATGTCACCCCAATAATTTAATGGAAGATAATTGTTCTCAAAAAAGTCTTTGTTGGTATTAGAATTTACGGCTCAACATGGGGTTGCCCTAAAGAAAGGCATTTCTCTGACTCCCTTGCAATTAAGTGTGGCCACACAGAAAGGACAGGCCAATGGAGTGTGAACAAAAATAATATGTGCAAGATCCATACTGGGCTCTGGAAGGTGGAAGAGTGTGTTCTTTCATTTGGACACAGCGATGAACTGTCTCGAATGTGCAGGGATGGCCAAGCTAAAAAACAGAGAAGCCTGGGTCCTTGGTGTTCACTCAAATCAGACTCTTTACCAGATCACATATTTACATGAGAGGAATAAATCTCTGTGATGCTCAAGCCATTATAATTTGAGACCCTGGTAAAATGCAGTTATACCAGTATCCTACAATAATACAGGAATTAAATTAACTGAAAACAATAGATGGATATGTTAATTTGGGGCTCGATATGTATTTCATCCTCCTTCCATTGTGTTCTCTTGTAGTGTAGTCATTAAAAGGTTCAATCAAAAACTTTCCATTTTCCAGAGTCTCTTGAAACCAGAGCTCTGGATTTAAATACAGACAACCAGGTGTGCTCGCATGAGATTTGAAATCCTAAGTGAGGTAGATGTCCCATTTTTACTGTTTTTGCTGACATTGTTGTTTCTCCTCCCCTCCCCTCCCCTCCTCTCTCTTCTCTCCTCTCTTTTTTCTTTCTTGCAGCAGCAGAAGTTCCACTAGTTTTTCTCATGCTTTGTGGATACTGAGCGAGAGGGTGTGGATTAACCTGTTTCCTGACTGGCCACTTCCAGTTGTTCTAGAGCTGCACTAGGAGAAACAGCTTCCTGACTGTGGGGATTTCTTGACCATGGCAGTGGCACTTTGGTTCTAGAATTAGTGGCTTCACCATCGTGGAGAAAGCAGCATGTCCCTTGGTGGTGGCTTCTATAGTTCATTCCTGAAAATTCAACCCAAAATCTGTTTCTTTGGTCTCCCCCAACTATTCTATAAACTGTTTAATACAGTGCAGTAAATCCTAATCTGCTAATTACTTAGTGAGACATACACTCTCTACAACAAAAACCTGTCCAATGGACTCCAATGCCCCTACAACAGAAAGGATGAAGCTGCTGTTAACTGAGATGGGAAAACAGTTTTAGGAAAAAATTCAAACACTTGATTTGCATATGTTAAGTTTAGGATGTATGAGTGTTTCCAAGTGGGAATGTGAATTAGGCAGTCTGGGCTTGACATATGAAGGCTTAAGGCTCCAATGTATGAATGGTGCTTAAAGCTATGAGATTGGATGAGATCACCAAGAGAATGCATATAAATAAACAAAAAAAATTTAGAGACTGGGCTGGTGGAGGACAAAGGTGAGTGGGAAGGAGAGCAGGGAAGAACCAGCAAAACATATTAAGTGGAAGACAGGTGAATGGTGTCCTAGAAGCCAAATGAAGACAGTATTTCCAGGAGAAGACAGAGGTCAGCTATGTCAAATGTGCACACACATGTCAAAGAAATGAGGACTGAGAACTGGTGGCTGGCTTAGCAATGCTCCGATCCGTGTAACTTTAGTAATCAGAAATTATTTCTTAATAAGCCTCTTAGCTTAAATTAATAATCAAAAAGAAGAGGCAAAGGTCTAGCACTAGATAGAATAAAAAATAAGTGTGAGAGACCCCGGAAGGATAGTTACAAATGTAAATAAATAGAATACAGGTCACACCATTGATACAAAAAACCAGCAACCACAGTAACAGAAATTTAAATGGAAAAGCCATAGCCCTACTTCAGTAACTGTTTTCATTCCACTAAGATCTTTAGGAAAAGTAAACCTTGCCCTGCTTAAAAACTTCTCCTTGTGTTTAGGTAAAAAGTTAGGTAAAAGTTAAACTTCTCAACAGAACACACATGTTCCATTATAGTGTGACCCCCGACCTGCTTCTACCACCCCATCTCCCTGTTCCACTGCTGCCGTACCTGGGATCCCAGACTAGGCCACCCTGAGCTCCTGAGGAGCCGTGCTCACCTCCACCCCTGTACCTCCCTCTTCTTCCACGACCAGTTACCTGCACATACTTTCCCATCCGTCACCTAGCTCAGATGTCTCCTCGTCTAAGGCTTTTCTTGTTTTCTGCTCCATTTCATCTCAGAACTTGATGCTTACCCCATGAATTCTCTCATCACCCCAACTCATCTCTGACATAGCACTGGTCGCTCAGTATTGTAATCAGTGACCTACTTCTGTCTCCCTCACTAGACTAAGAAACTACACGAGAGCAAGGGCCATGCCTAAGCTTATTTCTAGCTTCAGTACTTAGAGTAGGTCTTTCACAGGATGTAGCAGGTGTTCAATAACTAGCTGCTAAATGAATGAATAAACTAACAGAGGTCATGTAATGGCTACAGAGTCCTTCTCATATTATTATTATTTAGTGGTTTTCTAGTTCTCATTTATAGTTTCTAGTGATTTTCTCATTTTTTTCACTTTTGTTAAGCTTTATGGCTTTGTGAATATCTTCAATCAAATTTGTTTCTTTAAATATTTAAAGAGTTATAAAATTTGAATAAAATATACTTTTAGAATTAAAACACTCCCAATGGGAAAGAATACAAAACCTACTTGTTGCAGAAACAAAGGGAAAGGGCCCAAGGAATTCTCTTGCATTGAGCAGGGAATAGGTGCCCATCTCCTCTTGGAACGCCGGAGAACCGTTTCTCTAGTGTGTCTCTTCCTCGGTACCTGCGTTCAGAGAAAGAAAATGAATAAATGAAAGCATCACTGCCTACTTTGTTGTAAGATAATGGACCGCCCACAGACTTAATGCCTCCCTGGACGGTCCATCTCAACAATTTCAAGCTGAAGTTACAGACCAGACAAGAAAGTCTTTTTCATTAGAAGGGTAAGGAAGAGTGTATTCAGACTGCAAAGGTTTCATAAACTAGAGAATTTCCATTCACTTAGCTTTCTAACACCTACCATACTTTCAGGTTAGGAAAATCATCACAGTACTCACTCTTAGTTCTTCTTGTTCTTTATCCTCTTTGCAGTCAATCTATAAACAGGTCTTACTTGTTTTTATTTGGCTAGAACCTCATACTCTCAGGAGAACCATAGCAAGAAAATGCATGTTCTTCACTGCCTCAACACTCTATCTGCCCTGTCCAGTGTGGTAGCCCTGGCCATATGTGGCTATTTACATTTAAACTAATTAGAATTAAATAAAATATAAAATTCCATCCTTCGGTTACCCTAGCCACATGCCAACTACTCAGTAGCCATTAATATTGGGCTGCCGTATCAGAGAGTGCAGATTTTCAAACATGTTCATCATTGCAAAATGTTCTATGAGACTTTATAGTGATTTCCATTCCATTTTATGGTATAGCAAAGAAGACATTTTGTTTCTGAAGAATTAATTAATTAATTTTATTAAACACCTATTAAAGTTATTTAAATTAATGCAGTTAACATCAATTAGTCATGATCTAGTCCAAACCTTTCATTTCTGTCACTACTTTCATAACACATTTTTCATGATGTAGAATTGATAACTGCAGTGAGTAATCAATCCCCTGAGCAATGGTCAGTACCATGCCATGCACACTCTCATTCTTACATACTCCAGGATTTCCATCTATTTTAACATCAGAACCACTGTGTGTTCCTGAAGTCAGCCTCATATTCACTAGAAACCACTGCTCTTAACATTAATTTAACATATACTTACTGACTGTGGATAGCTCAGATATTACTAAAGCTATAAGCAAAAAGGAGGTTAATTCATCCCTTCAAATAGGTAACTACAAATAAGTTGTTTACACTAACAAAAAGATCTGAATCTTGTAACAGAGGGGTAACCAAACTGCCACTGCCTCACAAAAGTCATTACTTAGACGTTAGGAGTAGAAGAAGCCTTCACAGAGGAAGTGGCATTTAGATTTAACAAAGCAAAACCTCAGTTTTAGCCAGTGTTAAGAAGTGGGGGTAGGGAGATGAGAGTAAACACAAGGTAAGAAAACAGAAGAGCAAAGGAAGGAAAAAATCCTGTTTATCCTTTGGTCCTCTTGGCAATTTTTTTAAAAAAATATTTAAATGAAAAGACAAGCATGCCTGAAAATGTCAGCATGCTTAAAATACCTTCTGATGTTCCAGGAGCACAGGAATCTCCTTCTGGGTCTGTTTCCTCGTGTCAGAAAGCCGAATGGTGAATGACCTTTTCTCATCAGATAACACGACAGCGCTGGCTGTGTATACTGACCCGTCACCTAGAACTCTGAAATCAGGGTCACTTGACTGGATGAGGTCTGCAGACATGAGGCACTCTTGCAAATTAACTGCAAGTAAAAATTTCCATGTTGTAAAGTGGAAATATATGCAAAAATGTGCTAAAATAAGTTTTACAATTATCTTCAAAATCACGAAGTAGAATGAAATAAACCAATCACATTGCATTTGCCAAATATCTTAACCAGTCTCTTTACATGTATTTTTTAAAAAGACAATTTTCTTTCAAATACCACTCAGCAGAAAGAAAGAAGGAGCTCCTACCCTTCTCAACAACATGGATGGAACTGGAAAGTATTATGCTAAGTGAAGTAAGCTAGGCAGTGAAAGACAAATACCATATGACCTCACCTATAAGTGGAACCTAATTAGCAAAACAAACTGGGAAGCAAAATACAGCCTGAGACACTGAAACCAACAACAAACTTGACAGTAACCAGAGGGGAGGGGAGGAGAGAAGGAAATAATGTGGGAAAGAAGGTAAAAGGATGTAAATGAACACGTATTAGGGACCCATGGACGGAGCCAAAAGGGGTGGGATTGAGGGTTGGAGGTGGGCATGGGTAGGGCAGGGGAAAGTGGTGGTGGGAAAATGGAGACGACTGTTAAAAAAATTTAAAAAGTATATAAAAAAACCCCTTGCATTGTTAAAGCAAAAAAAGACACAATTTTCTTTCAGTTAAAAAGATAATTCTTGATTATATATTTGTATTAGATAGGATGCTTTAAAACTTTATGTGCTTCTAAAGGCCTGTGAAAATGATCTTCCTATAAAAGACATGTGTGTATAAAAGAGGTGTGTGTATCGCAGTGATGACATAGCTGAGCTACACGCCCCCACGCACACCTGAGTAAATAAATAAACAGAAAAGTTTCCTGAACAATAGAGTCTGAATCTTTTAATGTACACCTGTCTTCAGTCCAAACAGCAAGGCAGTGTAAGAGGTATGAAAACAGTCAGGTAAAACGAATTTACCTAGGAATCCATTCCAGAGGCACTTTTCTGTTACACTCTTGCCTAACCCCCCACCCCATCCAACTTTCACCCCCAGGGCTCCCAGTTCTCTTTGTGTTTCTAGTTTGCCAAAACTTCCAACCAAAAATCCACCTGGGATGGATTTTTCCCACCAAAAATCCACCTGGGTCTTCTCTCCCTGGGAATTTTGCCCTCTAATAAAAGGTAAGCAAATATAAATATCAATTTAAGTGTTTTTATACTTATATGAAAATATCAAATCCATCCCATTCTTCAACAGTCTGCCTTAACAGAAACCAACTGATAAATATTCACTTCAGTAATAATCTCTCAAAGAATTCATGGTATCCATGCAGAGCATTTTCACTTTAACCCTAATCTGTCTCAGGTGGAAATGTTCAGTCGAATAGAAGTGAGCATCTGTAGGGGTGATGACCTATTTCTCTCACCTTCATGTATTTAGCAGTTGATAATCTCTGGTCTATTTCCCAAGAAGAACACCCATGACCTCTCCTTGCAACTTTTCCTTTCTTTCTCCCAATAGGAATAAAAGTGACATTTGTTTAATAAAATTGAATGAGGCACTATACCCAGAAATGGTACATACACTTTGTTGAAAAACTATTTGACCTCTCTGAGACAAGCTATATGTCTTTTTTAAAAAATCACAATGCTTTCCTCCAATATTTCCTGCACTAGAGGAAAAGTGTGCCTGGGCATAACTTCTTGCTGTTGAAAAGTCTGAGGTTTCCTAACTTCTCAGTGTGCAAATGACTAAATTCCATTTTGAATGGAGTGGTTAACCTTTATGTTTCTCGATGCAGCCAGTGCATTGTTAAGACCCTGCTCTGATTCTCTCAGCTCCTTATCTATTGTTCTCTAGTGCTACGATCCTAGAGCAATGAAAGATTATGTTCTACTACATGTAATTCTTTATGTAATTTTAAACCCTCAAAGCATGAATGACTACAAAAACATAGCTTAGAACATTAGCACTAAAATAAACCACAGAATTAAATGAAGCTATCAAATCAGAAACATATATTTAAATTATCTTGAATTGTATCTAAGTACATATAATCAGGCTAATTCCACAATGCAAAGGTTAGATAACCTTCCCTTCCCTATGCAGGTCAACTAAATTTCTATTTTAAAAACATTGTTTTGAAATTTCTCACCTCTGCCAACCATTTTGTCTGCCTCTAGTTTAGAAGGTATATTAAATATCACCTTTTGGCAGGCTTCACAAGCAAAACCGAAGACCTAGAATAAAAAAAAGTTCACATAAATACAACAAAGAACAAAGCTTTAGTTACACAAGATAAATTCCAGAGATTTGTACAGCATAGTGATCATAGTTAACAATGCTGTATTGTATACTTAAAATTAAAATGATAACAATGAGAATGGGAGGAAACTTTTGGAGGCCATGGATATGTTTATGGCGCAGACTTCAGTGATGGCTTCACATGTATCTCATATACGCATCACCAAACTCATCGTTTCATAGTATGTGGATGGATACTTTCTGGAGAGACCTTGTATACTTATCTCCAAACTCATCATTAAATATGTACAGCTTTGCATATGTAAATATTACCTCAATAAAGTGTTTTTTTAAATATGATAACAAAACTACACGATCATCTCAACAGATGTAAAGCAAGCAATTGACAAAATTCAACATCCACTTATGATTAAAAATGCTCAACAGACTAGGAATAGAAAGGAAGTTGCTCAACATGAGCAAGGGCACCTACAAAAGCCAGCTACCATGGCACTCCCTGGGGGCACTGCTTTCCTCCCACCTGGGGAACAGGACAGTGATGCCTGCTGTCACCACTTCTGTTCAACACTGTATGAAGCTTCTAGCCAGGGCAATTACAGAGACAAGGAAAATTAAAGGCACATTGAGAAAAGAAGTAAAATTGTCTCTATTTGCAGATGATAAGACCATGTGCATAGAAAATCCCAAGGAATCCACCAAAAGAAAATCCAAAATAACAAATGAGTTCAGCAACACTGCAGGATATAAAACCAAAGTACAAAAGTCAGTGTGCATTCCTGCACACTAGCAATGAAAAACCTGGAAACACGAGCAAACATGCCACTCAAAATAGATATCCCATCTTCATGCATCAGAAGACACATTCCAAAACTACATCTACAGGTACAATGCAATCTCCATCAAAATCCCAAATCGCTTTTTTGCAGCAATTGACCATTCACCATTATGAAAATGCAAGGGACCCAAAGACCCTAATAAACCTGAGAAAGAAGAACAAATTCAGAGGGCATTTTTCCAATTTCAAAACTTACTGCAAAGAAATAACAACCAAGACAGTTTGGTACTGGCATGAGGATAAAAATACAGATAGATGGAATAGAACTGAAATCCCAGAAATAAGTGCTTATATGTATGGATAGCTGATTTGGGGCAACAGCTTCAAGAAAGTTCAAGGGAAAAAGCCTTCAACCAATGGTGCTGAGACATTTTGATACTCTCATGCAAAAAAAAAAAAAAAAGAATTTGGACCCCTATTTTACACCATGCATAGAAATTAACTCAATGTATCACAGACCTAACTGTAAGAGGTGAAACTAAAAACTGAAGAGTAAATCTTCATGATTTGGGGTTAGGCAATGATTTCTTAAATATAACACCAAAAACATATAAATGATTAAAAAATTGGTAAATAGGACATAACTGCAAATAAATTTTGCTCTTCAAAAACTACCATAAAATGAAAATTAAACCTACAAAAAGTGAGAAAACATTTTCAAATTACATAACAATAAGAAATTAAAATAAAAATATATAAAGAAAGCTTATAATTCAATAATAAAAAGATAACAATATAAATGGGCAAAGAAAGTAAATAGATATTATCCTAAGAAGACAGACACATGGCCAATAAGCAGATGAAAAGATGTCCAATATCTTTTAGAAAGGCATTAGAAAAATGTAGACATAAACCACGAGGTCATAACTACTGGAGTGGCTAACATAAACCAGACAGAAAATAACAAACTTTGACAAAGATGTGGAAAAGCGGGAAACTTCATGCATTGCTGGGGGAAATGTAATGGTGTAGCAACTTTAAAACAGTTTGGCAGTTTCTCAAAAAATCAAACATAAACTTAACATATGACCCATCAACCAGACACCTACCCAAAATAAATGAAAATCTAGTCCACATAAAAACTGTACATGAATATTTACAGAAGCAATTTTTATAATATTCAAAGGGGAAGGGTTGTCAAGGAATGCGTTTAAAGGACACATGGACAAAGCCAAAGGAAGGCAGGATTGAGGGTGGAAGGTGAGGATGGGTGGGACAGGAGGTAGTGTTGAAGGGAAATGGAGACAACTGTACTTGAACAACAATAAAAAAAAAGTGGAAACTTTCAACTCACATGAACAGACAACAGAAGGTGATATAGCCATAAAATGGAACACTATGCTGCTGTAAAAAAAAAAACAAAAAACAAACAAACAACAACAAAAAAAACCCAATGCACTGCCATGGCTGGTGTGGCTAAATTGGTTGGAGAGTCATCCAGTAACCAAAAGGTTTCAAGTTTGATTCCAAGGCACATGTCCAGGTTGCAGGTTCAATCCCTGGTCTGGGTGTGTATGGGAGGTAATCAGTCGATGATTTTCTTTTGCATCAAAGTTTTTCTGTCTCCCCCTCTTCCTTTCTCTCTCTCTCTAAAAACAACGAAAAAATGTCCTCGGGTGAGGATAAAAAAAATGTACTAATAGCTGCTACAATATGAATAACCTGAAAACCATCCTGTTCAGTGAAAGAAACTAAGTACAAAGTAGTACATGTTGTACGATATTATATAAAATGTCCAAAAAAAGCAAATATATAGAAAAGGAGGATATTAGTTGCCTGGGACTGGGTGTAGGAATGGGAAATAGCTATAAAAGGGTATGAAGGGTTTTTGTTTTTTAAGGTGATGGAAATGTTTTAAAATCAGATTTTAGTGATGATTCTGTAAATTTGCTAAAACTTACTCAATTATATACTTAGCATGGGTGAATTTTATGGGATGTAAATTGTACCTTAACAATGCTATTTAAAACAAAAGAGGATTCATTGTCATTGGTATAAAAATGATTCTTTCCACACCCACCTCTGCAAATTGGCAGTGATAGGCTCTTTCAAATTTACAAATTCACATATGTAATGTCATCAAAATAAAACTGAATAATAACTACAAGAAAGTATCTTGTTTCTTACATAATCCAATATAAAATAGATTTCTTCACAAAATTAAAAGCTCTTAAGTCATGGTAACAGTTGTAAATACATATATATGCATAATCAAAATTCTTATATTAATATGTGCTCTTAATGTGACTATACCTCTGTAATATCTATCTTGAATTAGTTAAGGTAAAAAAAATTCAAAAATACGGACAAATAGGGTCAACATTAATTTAAATATAAACCCAAACATCATGTTCAGAAAGTCATAATCAGATTGCTACAATTAAATAATAACTCATTTGCCCGTAGTAAAATTCAACTATGTTTATATGCTCAGTTGATTATTATTCCTTAAGAATATAGTTGTTCTCTTGGGGTGAAAAATGGTCTTGCTCAATAGTGCAGCAATTGGACCAAATATAATTTCACTCCATCATTGGTGTTTTTCACTATCAAAAGAAAACAATGTTCAAATATTTTAATCACAGCTCTTTAAAATGTTTTAACTTACTATGAAATATTTAAGTCAAATATAATAAAAGCTCATGTACCCATCCAGACTTTCAAAAAAATTAATAATTTTCTAATTAATAATTTTCTAATTTTTGTTTCATTTTTTAATTCAAATTTACAGATATGGTTAGAGGCCTACATTCCATTTCCTCCCTAAGGAATAGATTCTTCTAGATTGATGTATATATTTCATCTGTAGGTTTTTATACTGTTAACATATATGCATTATATATGCACATGCCCATAAAAAGGCATGTCCAGAAAAAGTCCAGTCATTGTTAATACAACAAGAATGTATTACATGACATCGATGTTACCTGGCAGCCTAGGAGAGTGGACTAGAATGCCCACGTGTGAACAATGATGACTTCACTGTACTAGTCAGTGGGAGCAGTAGATGTTGTTGAGTGACAATGTGTACTGTGTGGCCATAACATTCAAAATGACTGAGTGAGTAGAGCAACGAATCTCCATCAAATTTTGAGTAAAGCTTAAACATTACTCCCTGGAAACTACTCAGATGATTCAAAAGGCTTTCAGGGAGGATGCAATGAGTGCAGCACTCATAAATAAAAGTGTGGCGCAAACGTTTCAAAGATGGTTGAGAATCTATTAAAAGTGATCCATGTTCTGGAAGGCCTGAAACAAGCAGAACATCTGAGAACGTTGAATGTGTATGGGCTGCAATCAACAAAGATCAGCGACTGATAGTGTAAGAACTAAAGCTGATCTGGGGATTCCAAAAACTACTGTGTCTAAGATTTTGATGCAGGATCTTGGCATGAAATGTGTTGTGGCAAAATTCATTCTGCAGCTTCTGCTACCAGAGCAAAAGGAACATTGTACCATAGTTGCTAATGACTTGATTCAAACCGCTATCAATGAACCCGATTTCCTCAAGGTCATAATCAGAGATGGATTGTGGGTCTACGGCTATAATCTGGAAATGAAGGCCCAGTCAACCCAGTGGAAGTTGCCTGGTTCTCCACACCCAAAGTCATGGCAAAGTTGCAGCAAGATCAAGACCATGTTATCTGTGTTTCTATTGGGAAGGTGTTGTCTGTCACGAGTTGGCCCTCCAGGGCCAACAATTAATGAGTACTACTTCAATCTTCTTCATCAGTTGAGAGATGCAATAGGACCAAAACGCCCGCAGATATGGGCAACTGGTGATCGGCAGCTTCATCATAACACACCCGCTCATGTATCACATCTCATGCAGAGGTTGTTGATGAAACATCAAATCACCAGGTGACTCAACTCCCCTACAGCCCAGATTTGCAGCCCTGTGACTTCTCACTTTTCCCAAAACTAAAATCACCTTTGAAATGGAAGAAACTTCAGACCATCGATGAGATTCAGAAAAATACCACAGGGCAGCTAATGGCAAGTGGGAGAACTGCATGAAGTCAAGGTGCCTACTTTGAAGGGGACTGAGGTGTTGCTGTGCTATGTACAGTGTTCCCTGTATCTTGTATCTTCCTCAATAAGTGTCTCTATTTTTCATATTATGTGATTGGATACTTTTTG